CCCCCCCCCCGCCCTTGACTTGCTCCGAGGTCGCCTCCGTGTCGTTTACCCGCGAATCCACCACGAATCTAATTATATGTTTACTCCTTCCCTGCGTTGCGCTGGAAGTATAGACCGCCGTCTAGAAACCGAACGAGATTTGCATGCACGGGTTAATACTCATACATCGTAGATCGGGTCAAGAGGAAGATGTAATTTTACTTTCCCGTCGAAGCGTGATATATTTCTTCACGTTTCTGGATATGGTATTTACGTGATTGTTAAATTAGATATCCCTGTTTATGGCTCTGTGCTCATCGTTTGCTCGTCGTAAATCGAAAAACCGAGAGTTATCTGAAATAATTAATATTTAACCCCTCGACTGCGCGCTCGACCCTGTGCGATTTTCAGACACGCGTATCCCTGGTAATCGTGCACGCTAGAGTTGTATCCAGGCGGATTCGCGTTTTCATCGCGTTTTTCCTTATATTCTCGATAAAGTAAAATATTCAGGCGAAAACATAATTCTATTCTACAGTGTTCAATTTTTTACAGACTTTTATTCTAGCATTTTTGCAAACCTAAAATAAATGATAACACGAATGACCCCTGAGTGTGCCGGGGATTAAGACGCCAATGAGATGTGTGCACGATTAGGGATACGGAAGCTGCACACGTGTGCACACCGCTCCGATAAATCGCACGCGAGACTCGGCAGAGATCGGACGGAGAGGAGCGCGTCGCTCCGAGGAATCGCGAGTAAATCGGCGCGAGTCGATACGGGGCCTCTCTTCTCGCCCTCGATCGCCGTGTCGCCGCGGTATCGTGAAAAATGATCGCGACTCTGCCGGCGGATGCGGCCTCGTCGGACGTCAGCGCGATAAATCACGCTCGATTCCCCGCGCACGTAGCTCGCGGTTCGCGAAAAAAATTCCTCAGGGCGTGCAGCGCGACGCGCGATATAGCCGCGCAGCTCGTTTATCTCGAGCGTCCTATCGACACACGACGATCGTTTATGCGATTCGCACTCGCTCGCTCGCTTGTTATAAGTGCAAATAGCCGCGAGTGGCGTAAAGTTAAGCGCACGTGAAGGCAACGCGCAGCACGCGCGAGCAAGCGAGCGAACGCGGGACACAACACTAGCCGTGTGCATAGCAAAGGCGTTGAAGGCGCAATTAAGATAATTAATCTAATACCACGGCCGCGCCTCGGAGCGATACTGCTACCGGCGCTCGCATAAATCCCGGAGAGCCTCGTTTATTGCGCCGACCGGCCGCGTGAATTATCGCCGTGGACGAGCGAGACGCCGCCGCCGCTCGAGAACGCCGGTGCGTCGGGGCCTTTTGATTTCCTTCGACACAATACTTCTCTGTCTCGCGGATCTCCGCGATCTCCGCACGATCGCGCCTGTTTTCCGCGCGCGAGTGACGGCGTCGATGCCGATGCGCGCGCCGTTAACGAACGTGATATTTCATTCGCGTGGAATTCCGTGCGCTGGAAACATTTTTCTTTCCCTCTTTTCTCTTTTTTTTTTCTTTTTTTTTCCACGAGAGGCTCATCTATAGAGAATCGAGACGCGCTTATTCGCCAGCTCATTCGCAGTTCGCGGGATTATTTTATTCGAACTAAGAGAGCAAGAGAGCGTTCTTTAGCAGGAGTAAGGATAGACTGTGCTCTCTCGGTGTTTGCGAAAATTCGGACCGAGCTCGCGCAGAGAGATTTTTGCGCTGATTTCACGCAAGGAGGATATGTTGAGAAGTAACACGATAGTATATGAGAAATTGACATAAAACGTTGACACTGTTTGTAAGTAGATTTTATTTGAAAGTAATGTATTTGTAGCGTTGAATGTAACTAAAAGAAAATACCAACACAAAGTCTCCAAAGAGCACAATCATGTTATATTACGTTGACACACGGCTGTGTTGGAGAATGCGACGTCAAATTTTTAATAAGAACCGATTTTAACACAAGAATAAAATATTCTTTACTGTGTGTGTCGCGACGTGATATTTATTTATTAATTTATTTATTCTCGGGAACGCATCTCTTTCGAAGAAAACCTGTTACATTAATACGACAATTTCGATGCAGTTGAATATAAATTCTCACTAATAATAAAAGAAATGTTCAATAATAAAGAGTAATGGATTTTGTAAAAAAATGGTCCGCTGACATTTTTGTGTTACTTTAACAAGGTGAGTATATTAAAAAGTAATACATTAACAAGGTGAATATGCTAATTTAACATATATATGTATACTTCTTAACATACTCCCCATATTAAAACAACGCAGAAATTTCGGAGAACCGTTTTACTAATTTTTTCACTGTATAGGGAATGAAATAAGAATTGATCTAATCTGTTGGCGTTATAGGCATGTCGCGAACAGGTTCAAGACATTTCGATTTTTATGGCGTTTGCTGAAACTTTACTTGATTTGGTTTTGAATGAACGTCGCGTCCTTCATGAGTGCGTTTCCCGTTGTGTCCATATTTTGCCTGGAAACTATCGGAAATGACCTAGAAAGGAAAGCTATCTAGAATAAGAGTTTTCAAGGCCAAGGTAACGTGCGTTCGACTCTGTCTGAATAATTTGTCGACGCATTGAGACATGCGCAACACGTACGCACGGTGCGCTGAGAAAATCGCGACGAGGTCTAGCGGACGGTTTAGCGTCGAAATGACTACTGTCAAAGAAGGAGGTAGCTTTATCACCGGCCCTTTCGTTATACCTCTCGGAACCAATTATAGCGAGCTGTAATCATTGGGCATTCGCGTCTCGAAAGATCGTCAGCTGACGTAGGCCGATAAATCACATCGAAATAGACGGAACCCGTTTACCCGGTGGCCGCGCTCAGCTAACGTTCCGCAACGATTGATAACTCGCCGACCACGCCTTTCCATAAATCAATAATCAATCGAAAAAGACGAGGGCACACGAGGGTAGTTTGTTCAGCGTTACGGAGATTTGTGGGCGAAGAAGCCAAGTCAGCGCGCGCGGGTAACGATTTTTCAGGAAAAGGGGTCGGGGAGGGAAGGCGCGAAGTGAAAGTGGCTTGCCAAGATTGCTAACTCCGCGTCGTTGTTGCAGAAGGCAGGCGCTATTGACAGTATCGGGCGGCGGTTCCCGTTTGACGACGGGGGGACCACCATCGCCGGACAAGCGGCGCTCCTCCAACTCCGCCACCGACCTCATGGACGACGAGGACAAGCTGCTGGACGTGGTGGGGCCCGATACGCCGCACCCGGCCCACCATCACCGGGAACGGGAACACTCCCGCGAGAGGGACGACCGCGCGAGCGAGCGAGGCGAAGGTAGCGAGTCGTCCGGGTCCGAGAGCGGCGGAGCGGGTCCTACGGGGTCGGAGGGCCCGCGACCGGACGTTTCGGTCGGTCCTCCGCTTCACCCGCCCCTCTTGCCGTATCTCTACCCGCCGGTACCCGGACTCTATCCTGGTCCCGGCCATTTGATACCACCCAGCCCTCTGGGACTCCACGGAGGAGTGACACCCGGGATGTTGTTCAACGCCCAACTGGCCTTGGCCGCTTCCCAGCACCCCGCGCTCTTCGCACACTACCCCCATCCCTTGGCCAGTCCGTTGCACCAGCTGAAGGGCCACCGATTCGCACCGTACACGCTACCGGCACCGTCGCACGGTTCCGCGTTCGAGACCGTGACACCCGGCAGCAGAACCCTGAGCCCGAGGTCACCGCCGCCGAGGCCGCCGACCGGCTCGCCGACGCCGACCGGTGGCGGCACACTCACGTCGACCACTTCCAGCAGCTCCGCCGGTGAGCTCAAGTCCATCGAGAACATGGTGAACGGGCTGCAGGAGAAGAGAAGAAGAAGTCCTAGTCTGACGCCCGGGCACAGGGGCGACGACGCTGGCGGAGGGAGTCCGTGACAGGAGAACGAGCCTGTGAGCAGCACGAAGGACGACGACCCCGAGGACGAGGATCGCGACGAGTCCGGTGACCCGGAGGACCTCCTCTCCGCCGACGAGAGGGAGCCGGACTCCACGTCGGAGCCGTCGTAGCGGAAGGAACGTCGGCTGGTCGGTACTCGATTCTGCATGCCTCCTCGTCCGCGGACCGCTCTCGTCGTCCTCCTCCTCCTCGGCTCGCTACGGTTTTGCCCCCTCACCCCCCACCCCCCGCCCGGGATTCTCGCTGGACGTGTCGGAGCGGGAGCGGGGAAAAGGCCGGACTCTTATACTACAAAGTGCAATTTTATTTCCGGAGTGGCGCCGCGCTCGAGGTGTGCTCGCGAGTGTTGGCGGCGGCGGCGCCCTTCGTGCTTTCGGGATGGAAGGGAAGTCCCACTTCGCGTGTTTCCTGTATCTGTAAATAGACGACCCCGGCGATTCGCGAGAGCACGATCGCGCGTTAGGAATGTGCGTCTCTGTTGAAGGACAGCCTGGAGAAAGAGAGAAAGAAAGAGTGAAAGAGGGAGAGAGAGAGAGAGAGAGAAAGGGAGGAAAGCCGGACGGAGAAGCAAGAGGTGCGTTGGACTCGACGCGGACGCTGCGCTGATTACGTTACTGTAAATTAAACGAGACGCAAGGGTGAGTGCGGCAGAAAGGTAGCGAGAGGAAAGACGAATGAGTGAAAGTGAGAGAGAGAGAGAGAGAGAGAGTGTGTGTGTAAAGAAAGAGGAGGAGAGATTGAGAAAGAGAGAATGAGAGGGAGAGAGTGAGAGAGTCTGCTAGCGCGTATCCGTGTCCCGTATGAGTCTACGTCTACCTGTGAATGTTAGGTCTTAAGACAGGAGAACAGAGAACGATATTGCAATATAAGAGCACCTCCTACTATTTGCAGCCCCATGTATATATGTACCCTATAAATATATATAGTGATATTATATATATATATATTATATTATATATATATATTATATTATATATAAATATTATATATATATAAATATAAATAACACATCTACTCTCTGTACTAATTATTAAATATATTACATGATAACGATTAGAGACGTAAACACGCATAAACGCACGCTGCCCGATTTACGCCTCGAAAATTGCAAAGGGAAGAAAAAGGTGAAGAAAAAAAAGAGAAGCAAGCAGACGTAAGGAATTCCAAATCAGAAGAGCCACGGGGCCGAGTCGACGATTCCGGGAGGAAGGAAGCGCGACCGCGCAAACCGCGGATCGATTCACCCGGGGGGAGGGAGTAGGCGCCGCTCCCGCGCGAAAATATTCTCGTTCTCGACAGATCCTACGTCGCCGTATCCAGAGATCCGCGTTCTTCAAGAACGCGTCGGAGGCAAGACCGTCGGTGGGAACGGCGCGCGACGGTCATCGGCTATTACCACTTCCGGCGCGAATTGTACGCTTTTTTTTACGAAAAGCGAGGAGGAAGCTCCTCGTCATCCCGCGCTCTCGATGATCTTCCTCGCGACTTTTTATGGATAATCTCACTCTCGACCTTTCACCTAGTAGATTCGAGGTAGGTCGGGCTCTTGTGATCGTCGCTTATCGTATCGGTACCATTTCACACGATCGCACGAATTACTTCGCAAATTTGGGGAGAACTGCATATTTGCGGAGGAAACAATACAATTCGCTATTGCACTCGCGTCGTGCCATCGTGAGATAAATCAGGCGTCATGGGGCCGGTTTAATTTACTTCACAAAATCAACGAACGATAAAGCCCCGCAGCCCTCCGAAAAGGAAACAATCTCCGGAGGAGATTTCTCCGCGACGGTTCCTCATCGCTCCCTCACCGCCCGTATATTTTATAGCAAAGGACCAAAATTTCACCGCGCCGACTGAGCAGTCCGACCGAGCCCGCAATTTGTAATGAACGAGTAGCGATCGGTGTAAGATAACTATTAAACGTGTAAGAACGCCGAGCAACGATTACAATCAGCTCGCGAGAGTCACTTTAGGGAGCAGAGGGGGGGGCGCTATCGCGAACACAACTACACGTCGTACGTAATACAATGGAAGCGGTCTGAGGAGAAAAAGAAAATACATGACGTCCGGGATAACGGTGGATAACGGTGATTCAAAGCGAAATCGGGCGAGAACGGCCCGCGGGGGAGAACGGAACGGCGATTTTTAAGGAGAGAGACATCCGAGAATGGGGAGGAGGTCGTTTGTGACGCGCTTCTGACGAGGCGAGCGAGCGACGACAATGCGCGATGGACTGGTGAACGTGGCGCGCCTCGAACGACAGCTGCGGCCGACCAGCTCGGGAAATCAAGCTCGGTATTATTTCGCACCGATGGAATTGTCGTCGATCATTCCGCCGGTATCGCCCGAACGACGCTCGGACTCTTCCCACTCGGATCCTGAGGCACGCTACGTCGTAGTCATAGGCCGATCTCCGCTCGCGTCCACTGCAAATCCAAGTGTGTTATTTTTACACGCATAAACGCATAATCTAGAAAAATCTGACACACCGGACCGAAGCTCCTTTCACAGGTTTCGTGCCGTTTTCAGTGACGTCATTTCCAAATCGTATTAAATTATAAGTTAACGCATGTTCAATCGTATGGCGTGATTTTGAATGGTAAGAAACGTAAAGAAGGAGCCCCAAGCAAAAGGGTCGCACTTGGATTTGCAGTGTCTTCTGCGCGTCTTCGGCCCTGTCGAATATCGTAAAACGGAGCTAAAAAAGCTCGAACGGACCCGTCTCTAAATCGATCTCTCGTTTTCAGCGAATTGATTCTCATTTTCGGGTAACAGCGAAAGGTAAGTCGACGGCGATCGGGTTCGGAGGCGGCTGGTCGCTTTGCACAATTAAGTTACGTTGCACCGCGTTTATGCAAATGCCAACAGAATAGTCGCGATCCGAAGTAGGTGGCTGACCGGGGTACTTCCGATACGTGAGCAATTCGCAAACTTTGCTTTCTAAGACGTCTAATAAATGTCAATTAGTGCCGTTATAATTATATGAATATATATTGATCATTACCACAGAGGCAACTTTTTCCCGTATATTCGAATATATTAACTGAAACGAGAGAATATCAATCGACCTTTCGAATACGATTCCGATCAGAAGCTTCGCTCCATTTTACGATACCCGTTGTACGAGAGCGAGAGCAACGTCGTTGTAATACGTCTGTAAATCCGAATCGATTACGAGAGGAAGCGAAATATTGTAAAATCCGAAAGCAATAATCTTCGAGCGGAGTCGCGCGCTGCGCGACTACCGCGGATGAAACTGATCGGTTCGGCTTATTTTAATGGGATAACCGCGGTCGACGGGACAGCTAGAGAGAGATCTATCGGCTTGGCGCGAAATTCGCATACGAAGATTCCCGACGAAGCGACGCCCGAAAGTAGATCGAGATTAAAAAGGTCTTTCTCGGAAATCAAAGTTCGACTCGGGGCCGTATCGTCGAGTATCATCATTAACTCCGACCGTGATATATAATAAGCAGAAACTCGGAGACTATTCGGATATAGAAATTCGGTAGAGGAGGACTGCTGTTATTTAATTTATACGTACCAATCGGGAGAAAGAGGAGCCGCCAACCGAAGCCGAAGCCGCGCCTGCGAGTCGTGCGCGCGCGCGCGGGCTGAATATTTTCCACGAATCTCATGGTTTGTAATATATAACGCGATCGTTCGTTTGTTACTATTTCTTAGTCCGTTTTAGATTTGCACATAGAACTCTCGGTTTTAACGAGCTCTGTTCATTGAGGAACGTCCGGCGCGTGCGCGCGTACATTGTACATGTTTATGTTACACCAGCCTGTTGCCGAAGCTCCTTCATAGATTCCGAATACAATTTGTATCAAAAGAAAACAATTCGGCGAATGCGCAGCGAGAGACGAGTGTATCGCTGCGTTCAGCGTTAAATGTACGGCGTGGGTAACGAGCCGTTCCGGTGCGGAAGTAGAAACAGATCGATAATGTACAGACACGATTGGACAGGCAAGTGGATGAAGAGAAAGACTTGTCGCGTTCTTAACTCGAGTTAAGTTATTTGTATGGATAAATGTTACTCCCTAATTGTATCATACGTATTATCAATTTAGTGCTGTGATGGTTCTTAGTGAAAGTTAGTCTATGGACGAAGAGATCGTGTACAATATTAAGTCACATCATAAGGCGAGCATTAATTTAACATTCAAGCCCGCGCTCGTGTAATCTCGAAACGCTAACCGCATATGAGACATTTTTTCTTCGTCCATCTGCTCCTTCAATTGTAACACGATTCGTTTGTGTAATACGACGAGTTCATCATAGTTCGTTGGAATTTTATTAGGCAGCTACGCAAAAGTGCGAGAGAGGAGAGGGAAGATAAGGAAATTCCAGCACGGAGTCAAAGTCGCGTCTAAGTTCTCTCTCTCGGATCTCCGAATCTTCGAGAATTTGCTCAACCCTTGCCCATCATTTTCGTGGCTTCCTTCGATGCACGGTCCTGCGCTCGAAGCGACGCGAGCCTCATTGTCGACGAGAAAAACAGGAAATAGCAATAAAAAAAAAAAGGGAACGAAAGGAAGAGAAAAAAGGAAAGAAAGATAGGAAAAGAAACGGGCGGCCCAGGCGTGGCCGCGTCAAACATGAATCTAACTTCTTACACGAGAATCGTGATATTCCGTGGCTTGTATTGTATATTGTACACTCCCTAGACTCCCCTCCCCCCGGCCCCAACTCCGTTCCTTACCCCATCATCAAAGTCCCTCCGAAAAAAATCCACGTGATTATAAGAATTATATATATATATATATATATACATATATATATATTAATTTAAAAATACAAAAGCACCGTGTGTACTTTCTTTTCTTCTGATCCGCGCGAAAAAAAAATATTTCGCTGGCACAGCAAATTTGTCAGTTGTTATACGGACGACAAAAGATTTGTTTGAATAACAAAAAGATTTCTCAAGAATATTAATCGCTATTTGCTGGATATACGGGGCAGCAAAATCACATGGTTACGTCAACTGAACGTTTTGCTGCAACAGCAAAATTATTTCTGCCGCGTAACAAATCCTTTTGCAACAAGTCCACATGGCAACTGAGAAGTTCGCTATGCCCGCGAAATATTCTTTTCTTCCGTGCACCTGTACTAATCCGCAGGAAGCGAAACGCTCTCTCGCGTAATTCGCGAAGCGTGTAGTATACATGACGCGCACGATCGGCGTCAGTCCGGACGGGCAATATCGGCGCCTTATTGCCGATAAATATACAAACATATCGCGACGGGGTGAATTTACCGTTGCAGAATTACATCGCGCACGGATAGTCTACGCGAAATAGCTGCGATACTATTCTTTAATGTCGTCCGGATGCCGTCGCTGCCGCGCCGGTCGCGTCGTTAGAGATTGGCGGCGCGCTTGTTAACGCCCGGCCGATTTTCCCCGCCGTGTCTATTCGCTACATCGCGCATTACGCATAATTTTCATTTCCCATGCTCTCGCGTCGGTGCACGCACGCCCGTTGATAATTCCGAAACTAATTCTAGAGCGGCCGATAAAATAAGCCGAAGAAGAGAAATAATCGAGCGCTATACGGGAGCTATCGGGAGCTATGAAAATATCGTTGCGATGATCATTCGATGATTATTAATATGCGTGATGTTAAACAAATAACGTAACATGGTCCGTGCTTATGAACGCGCAAGCGGCCGGTCTCTCGTAACGAAGAAACTTTTGATTTCGCCGCCTCTCTTTAATGAGAGAAACCGTTTTTCTCTTGCCGGAAGATAAGTACGCGCGCAAAAGCGCGCATTGGCGGCGCAGGAATTTTAATCTTTCGGCCGATCGGCCCGGCGATTGTAATAATTACGGTTCCGCCAGTGTGAAGATACGACGACGCGCGCGCGCGCGCGCTGATCCTCCTCGCAAAATAAAAC